AAAAAATAAATATAATATTAACTATTGGTCAAATCTGATTTCAATAATACTGTCTAAATTTTTTGACATGTGGTAGTTTAATTTCCAGTATAAATTTATTTAGTAAAGTTCTGGTGGATCAAAGATCGAGGAATGATTTGGTTTTAACTGGTTTGCATTTTATGAACGAAGTGCATGATATGATTTAAATTGATAATTTATAGTTACACCTATTGAAGTAAGTTTTATTTGGTTAAATAATGTATGGATACATGACTATTTTTAGTTGCAAAATTTATATATATATGCATATATATATGTATATATATATATGCATATATATATATATGCATATATATATATATATATATATATATATATATATATATATATATATATATATATATATATACATATATATACAGAGAGAAAATTTAAATAAGTGCCAGTTCCAATACATATGTAAATATATATATATATATATATATATATATATATATATATATATATATATATATATATATATATATATATATATATATATATATATATATATATATATATTTACATATGTATATATATACAGAGAGAAAATTTAAATAAGTGCCAGTTCCAATAACCGTAAATTTACTGTATATATATATATATATATATATATATATATATATATATATATATATATACATATATATATATATATATATATATTATATATATATATATATATTATATATATATATATATATATATATATATATATATATATATATATATATATATATGTATATATATATATTTTTTATTGTTATTATTATTGTATAGCATATTATAATAATTATAGGGTTTTTATTTGTCAATATAGGAGTACCAACAATATTGCAATATTTTTTTGTAGTAAATAAATGAATTTTGTTGTTTATCAAAAATTGTGGATTTCAAGTCCAGAATTCAAATCCATAAGACACTTTAGTTAATAACACTGTTGAAAACTAACCAAAAGTCTCTAGAATCAACATCTAAGATAAGATACAAGGTTTAGTAAACTGAGAATAACAGAGATTTACATCAGATAAGACTTTGTTTATACATTAGCTTATTGCAGTAATAAAAAAGACAATTTTTTCTTAAGAGAGATGTTCTTATAAAAAAAGGTGAAAAACGTAGTTAATGTTGAAAGATGTAGAGTAGAATGAGGCTTGATTTAAAACTGAAGAGAAGTAATAAAAACTTCCAAACTTTTATTCCAGAAGCGATATAAGCTTCCAAAATGCACTTTTTGCACACATATTATGGATGTAAGCATATTTGTTTGCTATTTGCTTAGATGCTGGCATACAATATCCTTTCATTGTTGTATAAACTTTAGTATTTATATAGTGTAGTATTTGCCGAAAGAGAAAATGATCAGAAGGATGTGTGGTGTGACTCTAACAAGATATAAAAAGTAGGCATAATCTTAGACAGATTAGAAAAAACGTTGTATCAAACAACCTTTTATTTTAGAAAAAGTTAAAGTAATTCAGTTATTAACATGTAGAGTGGTAGCAACTTCAGTATAAAATGGTTGTGGTAGAAGTAAGAAAATTTGAAGAGTGTGCCTTACATAGTGCCATAATAAAGATGATGATGATTATTATGATGACGATCAACAACATCAACATAATTTTTATTATCATTGTCAAGCTTTTCGCTTTTATGCTGTTGATGATAATGATGATCATGATGATTATGATGATCATGATGATGATGGTGATGATGGTGATGATGATGGTTATGATAATTATGATGATCATGTTGATCACAATGATGTTCATATATGCATATATATACAAAATATAGCATGAATTTTAAATTTAAAAAATATCTTTAGGATGTATCAATTTTTATACAGCCTGGTCTCAAACCCGGCCCTGGCCCTGGCTATATTTTATCAAACCCGGCCCCGACCCCAGTCAAATATCAACCCCAGTTGTTTACTACAAAACATTTATAGAATAAAAAACGTCGTGTTATTTTTAAAAACAATTACCTATTTTATGCTATTACGACAATCACAATATATATATATATATATATATATATATATATATATATATATATATATATATATATATATATATATATATATATATATATATATATATATATATATATATATATATATATATATATATATATATATATATATATATATATATATATATATATATATATATATATATATATATATATATATATAGTGATGTCTATATATTGTTTTACTACCAACGTTACAAATCCTTGCAAAATCAACTGCTTTAACAACGTTAAAGTAACGCTTTTCAAGTAACGTTTTTTCAACGTTAAGTTGCGGTGCCTATGCAACGCTTTTTAAGTAGCGCTTTTTCAACGTTTAGTTGAGACATTTTTGTAACGTCTTTTAGTAACGTTTTTTCAACGTTACGCTACAACGTTTAATCAACGTCTCTTTAACAACGTTACATATCTTTGCAAAATCGATTACTTTGTCAACGTTTCCGCAACATCTTTTGCGACCGGTTTTCAACGTTGATTCAACGCTGACATGTTTGCTGGGTAAAAACACCTGCTCTTTATCAAACCAATGCTTAAAAAAAAATATAGTATATCAATCTAATTTATGTTCCAACAATCTTGTTTAAACTCACATGAATAAATTTTACATTGGCATAAGCGAAACATCTTTTAAAATTATATATTCTAATCACATAAAATCTTTTAAAACTCCCGAATATAAAAATGACACTGAAATATCAAATGAGGTTTGGAGATTAAAAGATGAAAACTTGAACCCAGTTGTTAGGTGGAGAATAATTAAACAGTGCGATGCCTATAACCCTGTAACAAAACGAAGTAACTTATGCATAAACGAAAAGTACGAAATTTTATTTTTTAAACACCCAAATTTGTTAAATAAAAAGAGTGAAATATTATCTGTGCCGGCATAAAAACAAATTTCTTCTTGCCCAATTTGACACTGGCGATTAGCAGTTTTACAACTATGCTTCTTTTTTATTCGTATTCTTTTTTATTAACTCATTCTACTGCTGTTTTTGTATTTTGTATTTTTTGACGGTTTTTTCTTGATTTGTATAATATATATGGCTGAAGATTGCCGATAGGCATGAAACTTTTAGTTCCATTATAAAGTTGTATTTTTCTATTTAGTTATACTTTATCGGGTGGACACGGAAAAATCCGGTCATCTTTAAATTGAGATTTCTCCAAAACCACAAATGCTTTTTATTTAATTTTTTTTTTAATTAAACTTACTTCCGTATCTTAAATGGTGTTGATAAATTTTTGTTTCCAAATTAATGATTTGCAAAATGTTTTGGAAACAAGTTGAGGTGCGTAAAAAAGTTGTGAATTTTTTTTGCAAATATCCATCGACTTCCTATCGCTTGATTGCTAAACGCACTAATGTCCCAAAATCTACAGTCATAGATATTATAAACAAGTTCAAGACTACTCAAAGCTTCGAAAGAAAACTTGAAGGTGAAGAAAAAAAACTTTTCATAAATCCAAAAAGGTAAAGTCGATTTTACGTTCAATAGCAAGAAATCCAAATCAGTCACAGCGAGATCTAGCATGAAAATTTAAGACTTCTTGTTCTTATATCAAAAAAGTACTTATAAATGCTGGAATTAAAGCATTTCACAAAAAAAATACACCTAAGAGAAGCTTAAATTGTGAAATTAAAGGAATTCGACGCGCAAAGAAGTTGGCTAAAAGAATGGCGGATAAAAATATGGGCATAATTGAAGACGACGAAACGTATTGCAAGGCGAATTTTTCACAACTTCCTGGTCAACAGTTTTACTATGAAAACAAAGATTAACCTGTCGATGATCAATTTAAATATATTCGATGAGAAAAATTTACACCCAAGTTCCTTGTGTGGCAAGTAATTTGTAGCTGTGGTATGCAGTCCTCTTGTTTTGTCACTGAAAAGACCTTGACTGCCAATCTCTACATCAAAGAATGCCTCCAAAAAAGACTTTTGCCTTTTATAAAATAAACACAAATACCGATGTCTCTTTTGGCCCAATCTTGCTGTCTCTCACTATTCTAAAAAAGTTTTACAGTGGTGCAAAAATAATAATGTGAAAATTGTTCCTAAAGATGCGAATCCTCCGAATCGGCCTGAAGAGTGCAAGATTGAAGATTGTTGGGCAATAGTTAAAGGAGTTCATCGTAAGACAGGTGGACTAACAAATAATAAAAAGGACTTCCAAAAAAAGTGGATTAATGCCACCAATATGGTGAAAAAAAAAAATCTGTAAAATGATGGCATCAACCCGCTATAAAGTTCGATTTCTTGCCAAGCAACCCATCAAGTCCCTTAAAATTAAGTTGAAACTCTAATTTATGTAAACACACTTAATAATAAAAAAATTGAAATAAAAAGCATTTATGGTTTTAGAGAAATCTCAATTTAAAGTTGACCGGATTTTTCCGTGTCCACCCGAAAAATGAATTTGTCATATTTGTTTTTGAGCATTATTGTATATAAATTTTGAAAAGATGTATGAGTTAAGTTTATCTTACATTAGCAAAGAACGTTAAAAACAATCAGTTGGTATATATTAAAAATACTCATTTCGAATAAAAGTGATTTTGCATGATCTTTAAAGTTTGTTAGTCGTGCTAAATGCTTCTTTTGCCGATAAAAAGGATTCAATTGACTTTTTTTAGCATTACCCCGAGTAATATTTGAATAATTTAGATGGCATTGAATAAGTGAGTAATAAAATTGAATTAATGCGTGTTTATTTACAAAACTTTTCGCTTTATATAATACTCCAATTTTTTATGAAACTTTGTTGCGCAAGGTTTCAATATGATTTTTCCATGTAAGATTTTCATCAATAAGAACACCAAAAAAAAGTATAACTTTTAATTGTTTTATTTGAATATTATCTATATATATTTGGAGCATATCATTTGACAAAAGATATTTTTTTGACTTTGGATGAAAACGAGTCTATTTAGTTTTTTTCTATATTAATTGATATCTTATTTCACTTGAACCATTTTGAAATTTTAATTAGCTCTATGTTCATGTCATTTAATAATGTTATGATTTATTGCTAGACAGAAAAAGGTTTGTGTCATCAGCAAACATTACTGTTTTTAAATTTGAGGCATTCTAAACTTTAAAAATTTGTTTTTATCATCACTCAAATGTTTCTTGATGAGTGACAAGACTTTTGGCTATCTATGCATAATTAATCGGTAAGTTTCACTTATCTAATCAAATTTCATTTGCCTTTTTATATTACATTAAAACAAGAGACTGTTTTTTGTGTTCACTCATTTTTTAGAAGTCGTAGCCAGCTCGTATGAAAGGAGTTCTTGACGCAAAATAGTTAAATTTATTCAACAACGCCAAGAAACAGAGCTTGCTCAAGAAACATATTCTGTTGAACAATACTGCTGTTTTGTTTATAAATTATTTTCCTATGTTTAAACATATAATATATTTAGAAAATGCTTCCTTTTTTATTTTGACATCTAAAAGAGGTTTTTTTCTCGACATCGGAATTAGTTTTTTGTCATACTTTGTATGAAGAGCTATTATCATTTCTTTTAATGAAAACAGCTTTTCATATATGAATAGCAGGAATACTATAGTGTATAGAATACTTATTATTTTACTAATAAGTATCACAAAAAAGTCTTTCTAACGCCGAGAAAAAAAACTTTTCGATGTTTATTAATTTTTAATGTAACTATAATAATAATAGCAATGTATAATGCAGGTTGTTGACCAATGGTTTATAATCAAAATTTAATATGGCTGGCGGTAAAGGTAAAGAGAAGTTTAAAGGAACACAGATTAGGTATTTACTTGTAAGTTAAGTGTAAAATTATATATTTTTTAAAAATCACAGCTCGTTTTTTTAATGCTGTTTTATTTTTAACTTTTTGATGTATTTGATGCAAATTATCTCAGGCAATACCTTTTTTATAGAGAGAGTTTTGTCAATTAAAGTGACTGCTACAGTTGCCGAAATAAGAAAAGGAATAATGACTTTATTAAAGTACGCACTCGACAGATCAAATGGTGGTGGTCGGCGCGTAAAAGGCGATTAACCCGATGTATAACATTCATACTTTTTCCTAGTTGTTCTGGAACTATTGATAATAGTTATTATTGATAAATTGATAAATATATTACTGATAAATAAAACTTTTTTTTTCAAACATTTTATTTTATTTGCATTGTATGTAAAGTCCGTTAAAGCAATTTAGTTGTATCTGATTAATTTACGTGAAATATAATACCCTCTGCGCAAATTAATGCTTTTTTATTGTGTTATTTTATTGCAGTTAAAGTTGAGATAATTTTTTAGTTAATTGGATTTAACCAAAATAAAAAACAAAAATCAACGTTGAATTTACGTTGTTTCAACGTTGTTCTAACGTCTTATCAACTACGTATCAATCGAATATATCACCTATTCAAAGTTGAAATATGGTTGATATGTAGTCGATAAGACGTTAGATCAACGTTGAAACGACGTAATCATCGACGTTGTTTCAACGTCGTAGTTTTCGACGTCGAATTTTATTTCCAATTCAACCAAATTTCAACGTTGTTTCAACGTGGTATATGGTCGGTTTGCGACGTTGTTTCAACGTTATTTCAACGTCATTGTGCCTGCTGGGTAGGAGCAATGTGAACAAAATAAACAACAAGTTAAGTGAGATAGAAGACAGATCGAGAAGAAATAGTCTTAGAATAAACGGAATAAAAGAAAGTGAGCATAAAACATGGGAGAATAGCTAGTTAAAAGTGCTCAAATTATTCAATGAAACACTTGAAATCAAAGATGTTAAGATTAAACGGGCACACAGAACCGGACCAAGAGATGAAAACAAAAATAGAACAATAATAATTAAACTCTCAAACTATAAAGATAAAATTGATATTATGAAAAGATCTGTGAAGCTAAAAGGAATGAACAATTATATTAATTGAGGATATTTGTTTTGAAACTGTCCAAATAAGAAAAGATTTGAAAGTTGAACAACGTGAAGTTGGAAAATATGCGTTTATCTCTTATGACAAACTTATTTTACGCGAATGGGCTAAAAAGAAAATTGATACAAAAGGTTGCCAAGTATAAATTTGTTATTTTTATGTCTAATTTTAAACGACATTTTTTTATTTTATTTAATTAATTTACTTTTTTAAATGAATGTTAATTTTGCATTCATTTTTATGTTTTATCCTAAACGAAATTCTTTTAGCTCTATATTTTAAAACGCAAAAAATGGAAATTTTTATGATATCGGTAATTAAATTTAATTACCGATATCATTAAAAAAACTACAATAGAAAATAAATTAAATTACATAATTGGCGACATAAATTTAAACGCATTCAAATATCACATAAATTGCAAAATTAATGGGTTTTATAATGATTTATTTGAAAACGGTGCATATCCGTTAATTAATAAACCAACAAGGGTAACTTCAATGTCTGCTTCCTTAACAGATAACATTATGACTACGGACACTTTTAATGAGCCCCTCAGAAAGGGTTTAATTAAAAGCGATGCTTCAGATCATTTCCCGGATTTTTTCTCAATAAATATTGATATTGAGTTAGTACCATTACAAAATCAAGTTTACTTCAAACGATGATTTAGCCAAGCAAACATATTGTTGTTTAATGAGCAGCTAATCTTATTACACTGAAAACATATAAATTTTTCATCTGAAGCAAATTTAGTTTATAACTCGTTCTTTAAAACATTTTTTGAAGTTTATGACGCAAACTTTCCTTTACGCAAAGTAAGTTAAAAAAAAAAGCATTAAGTCGTCATGGATTATCAAAAAACTTAGAAAATTGTCCAAAGTTAACCAAAAATTGTATATTAAGTATCTAAAGTCAAAAAGTGATAAAAATAAGGCGATTTATAAAAATCACCTTAAAAATTTTGAATGTCAAAGAAAAAAACTTTAAAAAAATACTACTCAACCTACTAGAGAAGTTTAAACATAACTCAAAGCGTACGTGGCAAGTTTTAAATGAAATCACTGGCAACTATAAGATTAAAACCTGCAACTTACCAAATGTTATTAGAAAAAATGATGATTTCATATATAATCCGAAAGATATAGCTAATCAGATAAATCATTATTTTGTATCTGTTGGTCCTAATCTAGGAAAAAATATTCCAGTTGTAACTAACAAAACAAATTATTTTACCGTTCCCAAAATTTCTGTATTTAATAATTTTGAAATTTTAATGAAAGAATTTGAATGTGCTTATAAAATCCTAAAAACAAATAAAGCGAGAGGTCAGGACGAAATAAATAGTAACATTATTATATTATATTACGAGATCATAAAAACTATACTCTTCAAAGTGTTTAGTTATTCAATAAAACGAGGAATATTTCCTGACCAAAGTTACACCAATATATAAAGGTGGTGAATTATCAAATATAACTAATTATTGACCAATATCTGTACTCTCTGGCATTTTAAAGGTTTTTAAAATCAAATTAAAACTTCTTTTATGGATGTAACTCTTTATTTGAAATTAATTTTCATACAATATTTCAAGGGATTATTGATACCCTCGTTGTCAAGTATATAAATATATTTAAAAAATCGTTAAATACAAAACAAAAACAAAACAAATCAATGCAATAGTTTCTTTTTATTTAAATACCGAAACATAGGTTTCCAAATGGAAGTTGTGACGTAACCTCCGTCGTCCTGATTTAGACCACCGTCTGAAGGTGAGCATTCATGGCGCTGTATTTCAAGCGCTTCCCTCACTTTTCTGTTAAAATTATTAAAAGTTTTTAAAAGAATTCTTTACAAAAAAATATATGAGCATCTTTCTAAAAATAAAATATTAAATGCTGTCAATATGGATTTAAAAAAAATAATTCCACGGAATACGCCATACTTCATGTAACTAGTATATTGCAGATTCTTTTGAGAAATCACAATTTACTCTTGGAGTTTTTATTGATCTATCAAAAGCCTTTGATACGATAGATCATGAGATTTTTATACAAAAACTTAAAAACTATGGAATCAGCGGAAATTTATTAAATTTGCTAAAAAGCTATCTGAGCAAATCGTAAATAGTTTGTACAAATTGATGTATCCTCCTCAACAAGTTTACTAAATATAACATGTGGTGTTCCCCAAGGGTCTATACTAGGGCCACTACTTTTCTCATTTATGTTAATGATCTGTACAATGCCTCAAATTTGAAGACAGTAATGTTTGCTGATGATACAAATCTTTTTCTATCCGGAAAAAAATATCATTACACTTTTTAATGAAATCAACATAGAACTAATTAAAATTTCAAATTAGTTTAAATCAAATAAACTATCAACTAACTTGGAAAATACTAAATGGACTTTATTTCATCCCAAATCCCAAAAAAAACTTTTACCAAATGATATGCCTCAAATATATATTGACAATGTTCGAATAAAAAAACCAAAAGTTATAGATTTCCTTGGTGTTTTCATTGACGAAAATGTAACATGGAAAAACCATATCGTAAATTTGCGCAATAAAGTTTCAAAAAATATTGGAGTAATGTATAAAGCGAGAAATTTTGTAAATAGACATTCATTAATTCAACTGTATTACTCGCTAATTCAATGCCATATAAACTATGCAAATATTGCATAGAGTAATACGTAAAAAATTCAATTAGATCCTCTATATCGACAACAGAAGCATATAGCACGTCTAATAAACTTTAAAGATCGTTATACTCATGCCAGACCTTCTTTTATTGGAAATGAATGTTCTTAATATACACTAGCAAAATGTTTTAATGTTCTTTTGTTTATGTACAAAGGTAAGATAAACCTAACCCCTATATCCTTTTTAAACTTATATGCAATAAAACAAAAAAACAAATGTGACTTAGGAAATGACAATCTTATTCATCAACATTATTCTCATAGCAGTTTTGGAAGATCTCTCTTAACATATCGCGGAGCTATTCTGTGGAACAAAATAATTTTGAAAAATTTTGATTTTTCTCAAAGTTGGAGTTTTCTTACTTTTTAAAGCTGAAAAAAGTTATCTTGTCAATTGATAAAATCTTTGAGTTCTTTTGAGTTTATACCTTTTAAAAAAGTGTGTGATTCCTGAATATATTGTTTTATTTTGAAATATTTAGTTTTATATATATTCTTTATGTTGTTAAACGTTATTTTATGTTTTGAAATATCTGGTTAGATTTAAATTTTATTTCTAAACGTCATTTATTGTAATTATTTAACTGGTTATATTTTTACTACATTGATGAACGGTTCTCAGTGACAGGATCTTACAATCCTCTTTGAGTCTCCGTGTTCTAATATTTAATGTACAACGATATTTATACCATAGTATATTGTAATAAGAAC